ACAGAGGAATAATGTGTACCCAAGCCTTCTAGTATAACCCATCAGCTCCTTCCACAATCAGGGCCAACTCCCCTATATTCAGGCAATAGGGATTATTTACTAAAACGGCATGGTGCAAACTCTGGTGCAGCTCTGCATAGAAACCAATCAGCTTCCAGAGTTAGAAGCTGATTGGCTACCATGCACAACTACACAAGATTCTGAGTGCTCCAGTTTTAGTAAATCCCCCCCTCCCAATTGCACATTCATGCTACTTTTGAATATATCAGGAGTGTAACGTTACAAGTGTAGATCCAATCCTGCAGGCGTTGCCCGTCTTTGGCCACAGTGGACACATTGGGATTGATATACTAAAGATAAATAAGCTGTTCACTTTGCAAGGTAATCTTCACCAAGTGAATGTGATAAAAATTTGCTTTGCAAAAAACACCCAATCACATGCAAGTAAAATAAAACTGTATTTTTGCTTGCACATTATTGGATGATGGAAGGCAGCAGAACTTCATCTCATTCATCTAAGCTAGGGGGAACTTCCTGTTCACAACGTGAACAGCCTAGTTGCCTTTGGTAAGTCAACCCTATGTTTTGGTGGTGCAAGCGGGCCACTGTATATTTGCTTTCCTTTTCTGACCACACCTCTTTTTCTATTTCCCTTTTGGAAAATAATGCACCTTATAGGTATTACTGGGCAGGTATCTACATATCAGGACTGGATCTAGGAGAGTGCTGGGGTGCATCCCTCCCCAGATCTCTGATGTGGGGGGGGGGGGCACTCACTGACCCATAAGCCAGTTTGATGCAGACAGGTGATGTAAGGGGGCACTCTAATGGGGATAAATTATTTTATAGGACAACTGATGTAAGGGGGGGCTCTGATGGGGACATTCATTGATGTAAGCGAGCACTCTGAAGGGGACAGCTGATGTAAGGGGGCACTTTGATGGGGGCCATGATGTAAAGGGTCACTCTGATGGGGACAGTCAAAGTGAGGGGGCACTGTGATGGGGACAATCCAAGTAAGGGGACACTCTAATGGGGACCCTGATGTAAGAGGACACACTGATGAGGACAATTGTAAGAGGGGACTCTTATTAGGAACACTGATGTAATTGGACATTCTGATGGGGACACTTGATGTAAGGGGGCAGTCTATTAGGAACACTGATGTAAGTGGACATTCTGATCGGGACACATGATGTAAGGGGGCAGTCTATTAGGAACACTGATGTAGGTGGACATTCTGATGGGGACACTTAATGTAAAGGGGGCAGTCTATTAGGAACACTGATGTAGGTGGACATTCTGATGGGGACACTTAATGTAAAGGGGGCAGTCTATTAGGAACACTGATGTAGGTGGACATTCTGATGGGGACACTTGATGTAAGGGGGCAGTCTATTAGGAACACTGATGTAGGTGGACATTCTGATGGGGACACTTGATGTAAGGGGGCAGTCTATTAGGAACACTGATGTAAGTGGACATTCTGATGGGGACACTTGATGTAAGGGGGCAGTCTATTAGGAACACTGATGTAGGTGGACACTCTGAGGGGGACACATGATGTAAGAGGGCACTCTGATGGGGACACCTTATGTAAGGGGGCACTCTGATGAGTAGCCATGATGTAAAGAAAGACCCTGATGTAAAGGGAGACTATGATAGGACATTTGATATAAGGGGGCACAGGTTCTGTTTAATCAGATTTGAGCATTTCTAGAAAGGCAGATGCAACACAGGTTTAAGGACATCAAATGAAAAAGGCAGGTGCATATGTGCAAATGAGGTAGTCCTTTTTTTTCACAAATAATGATAAACAACTCAGACTCAATGATAAAAACCTTTACTTGCAGTTTTTCAATAAATAATTTACATTATCTACATGAGTCAATGTGTATGAAGAGAAGTAAAAACAGGTTTGCTTTCTTTTTCCCTTTTGCTGTAAAGTACATTACTTCTATATTAGATGGGTCTATCTTGGCATCATTTAACGAGAAGGTTTTTATTTTTATTTTTAAACACAACCACAATAAAGTGCTTCACTTATTTCTAAACATTGACACACCAGCAGTTATTTCCTTCTCAACCCAGAGTTACAACGTGAAGTAAACTACAGTAGACAGTAGGCAACGTTCGAAGGACACTCCAATGTCTGTTCATGGCTGGAGAAACATAGCTGTGCTAAACACTAGCATGTAGCAGGTGATAGGACAATGTATGTAGCAACAACTTCATGGGAATCCCAATTTAATGAAGACAAAGAACTATTTGCCCTTTGGAGATCAAAGTGCTGTGGTAACATCATGGGAAATACAGTTCTAAATCAACTGTAAAATGTGATGCCTTGCATCTCCAGCAACAGATAGATCTCCAAAAAGGAGACTTGACAGAAACATTGCAAGAACAAACAGGGCTCCATTAGCAGTGTCAATTAGTACCACTGGCGGTTGACATCTATTAGCAGAAGATAGCAAATTCATTGGGTATCCAAGAGCAATTTCAATTAGCCACAGATTTATATCCACTGAAGTAAATCAAGGTACCAACAAAACTCAAGATTTCATCTAAATTTTTAGGTACAATAGCTGCATGGTTCCAGAGATGTGTCCACCTATTCGTCCATCAGTAACCAGGTATGTTTTTTTTTGCAGTGGATTGGTGAAATGAAACCATGTTTACAGCTGAACTACTGCAGCTCAGAGAGATACCAAAGCCTGAAAGGGCTTGTCTACATAAGGACTTTCCCACTTGGTTTTTTCTCACTTTTCAATGGGACTCGGCATGAAAAACCTCTTCTGTTTACTGCATCCTAAGTCACTGTTATTGCCGTAGGGCAGCTCCTTTCTTCTTGCAAGTGCCCAAAATTGTCAGGAAGCTTATCGCCTATGCCCCAACAGAATTCAGTAGATTTATGGAGTGTGCCATGAGTTACATCCACCTTTCGTGAAGATAGTTCTGTTCAAACAAGATGTGTAAGTGCTGGAATAGATACAAAGTATCCTTGGGCCAGTTTTTCAGAGTAGAGCTCCTGCGGCTGAAATGTAAAAACGTGGCTGCTGAGATCTATTCAAAACCCAAAAATATCAACAGCTGAAAGAGCATCCTGTCTTTTGACACACTATAGGGGAACCCTACAGTATGGTCTAAACCAATGTTCCTGAGATCTCAGCTTGCCATACCTTGCTAATGTATGAAGTATTCTATGTCTAATGTCTCAGTGGTGGTAAATTCAATAAACTGACGGGATTGTTGGTGCTGTCCACTAAACGGGCAGGAGGTGCATGAAATGGCATTGGTATAGAAAGTCACAGCTGCCATAACATTTTCTGGATCTGGTTGGAAGAAGTTAAACATTTTCCCATGAGAGTTCTAGTGTTTACACAGTACATCAGGAAGGTCAAAATTCAATCTAATGGGAATAAAGTAGTTTCCACATCTAGCTTTTTTTTTTTTCTTTTTTCTTTTTCCTTTTTAACACACTGAACACATTACATCTCTATGTACAGTGAAGCTATTAAAAAACACAAACTCTCCACATATTATAGACAACATAAATTACATCCAACATGAGTTGCATTTTTTTTTCCTTACATGTGACTGCTATAGGATATATTTACACTTTACTTCTGCTTTAGTAATCAGTATCATACCAGTAAATGGTGTGTACTATGATCACAGGTTTAAAGACCAGGCTGCTCTGCAGAACATTCTGGGATTTATAGCCATAATATAACAAGCTGTAGAGTTCAGTTTTTTTTGCCACTAGAGGCGGTCTGACCGTGGTAGGCTAAGCACTCGTAACACTAACCCTGCTGATGGCAGCAACTGTGGTTCAGTTCCTCCAAGCTCTTATCAGGATGCAACATCTGCAGCTATGGGAAAAGCATGCACCTTGACCAATATGCTCATAAATGTTCACCCGTAATAGGGAAAGCTGACTTAGTAAAATGTTAACCCAGACATTTCAAAGATTTAATCTATTCTAGTTTTAAAAACTAACTAGTTAACCAAGATTTTAATCATAGCATAAACTCATTGGTTTTGCTATCTGAAGCTTTACAGTGGCCCTATATGAAAAAATATTTACGAAAAGGAATAGTCCATAAAAACCAGTTTGACTCTTTCATACACTAGAAATTGAATTTAACCCAAAGAAGCCTAATTGGTTGCTTTGGCAATATCAACCAGTCTTCCTTTGAATATACCATCCACTAGGTCCTATGTAACATAAGACCATTACTCAAATATTATGTTTAAATCAAGACTAGCATTAGCATGTCAGGGCTGCAACATATCTCTTGGTCTTTACCCATACTTCTGCTTCATTGTGTTAAATATGGCGGCAATGAGAAGCACATTCCCATATGTGCTACTGTTATGTAATCCGGTACTGTCTGAGAACCCCTAAATTGTTCATGCATTTACAGCTTATTATGGATCACAAAAGCCACATTCACAAAACGCTAATTTTCACAGCCACCATGATACTTGCAGTACCACAAATAAACAAGAGAGGAATACACCTTTTCCCCTCTGCAACTTCAAAATGTTGATTGAACACATGAGGTATGGTGAATGAATGCTCCGCTAGGCAGATTTAACAGATAAGCAACATCTTATCCATGATTATGTTGTGTCAGAGATGCATAAGCAAGGTTAAAGGCTCCTAATTTAGCTCTTCTAGAGTCCATATCCTAAAGGATTAAGAAGAAACCTATTTAAAGACATCTACTCTATGAGGGTCATCATCAATGGTGTTTACACTTTGGATCAATGGTAGATGTCTGGCACTAGAGCAAACACAGAAGCGGTAGATCTCCCAAAGTGAGTTTTGTGGTCTCCTTGGTGTTAAAAGTATTTAGGTGTACCTTTAGCAAGTTGTTGAACACTTTAAATAAATTATTCATACGGGTGTTAGAACTTGTGCTTTCACAGAAACAAATACACCTTGAGTAACTAGGTCTGCACCTCTGCAATCATCCCACAAATGTGAAAAAGATTTACACGGTAAACATAACTTTACAGCAACACTGAAACAAACACACTAACACCACGAGAAGCTTGGCCATCTCTAGGCCTAACCGAGGAGCGGAATTGCCAGGCCCCAAGTCTGTGGTCCTTTCATACAGATGAATTTTGTCCTTATTGGAGTGTAATAACTTTACATCCTCAAAGGCATAATAAGCAGCTAGAGTGAAATTCACATCTCCCGTAGTAAGGAGGTCAAACACGCAGGAGTGAAAGTAAAGGTCCTCCACTGGAAGCTTCTCCTTACACTTGGCTCCTGCCATTTGAGGAGTAAATGGTGGCCCACGTCTCCACAAGCCAGTCTCTGGGGTTTGAGAGTGAAAGGTTCGGAAGTCAATTTGCTGGTTCTGAGGGCAGCCCTGAAGACACAGGTAAAGTCCCTGGTTTTCTTTATCTTCAACTGCATTCACCACCTCCTCTGGCATACGCACTGCAAAGGTTAGGTAGCGGCCAACTTGTCGAACCACTATGGTAGTACCAATGTATTTGGCTTGAATCTCTATGTGCTGCCCAGCAACCTTCTCAATAATTTTCAAACTATTAGCTCCACTCTTATCTCCACCATTCTTGGATCCATCTATAAAAGCTGCTGGAAGCTCATCCATTTCAGCTTGGTAGACCTTCTGGTCTACACACTCCTGGAAGTTCTTGAAGATTATTGTGATCTGTGGAAAAACAGTAGAATGTAAATCAATAAGTGTGTAAAAACAAAATGAAAATATGAAAGGCCTCCTTTATACAAAACATAAACTCTACAAACAATAGCATGTTGTGACTTGTTGTGATTCATTGACGATGCAATTTTGAGCTTTGTCCTGCATTACATTTTTACATTTTTACACAATGCACATCAACACATATGTATGATGTGAACAGGGCACATAGAGAACAAGTGCTTCTATGTGTCATTCTGCTTATCAACATAGTTCACCTCACCTAGTGTGAACAAGTTTATTCAAGGCCAATATAAAAAAAACGCAACAACTCACAACAAATGAGAAGTCAGATTTTGGCCAAGTTGTCAGAGTAGTCAGACAAGTTGAATACTGATTTTTGAATCGGTTCCTCTGATGTTACTGCAAACCACTTAGGAGTTTTGGGTGTTCCAACTTTGTGTGTTCCAAAATGCATTATCATAATAAATTGAACATTAAACAGTGAAAATGGGAACCTCCAATACTAGTCAATACAGGTATTTTAGAGCCAGACACTTAAGTACAGAAAAAATTGTTAGGTGGTTTGCTAGCATCTACCAGAAACACAAGTAACAGTATGGAGTGATCATACAATTAATCTACACATTTGAACTAATCTAAAACCAAATAAACCTACTGAATATCACTGATGGTAGCAAAATATAGATGAACCACATGTGGTACCCAATTTTTCCCATGCTTTCATAACCTAATAAAGCAGGTATGAGTTATAGGTCGTTATTTATTACCATAAAAACTAAAATATCAGAAGACACAGGAACCCTAACACTTTAAAGGCTGCAAAAAGCTATAATAATACAAACTGACTACTTTAAAGTAAGTCTAATATAGAAAAGTTAAAACGTGACATATTTCAAGGGGTGTTTAAGTACCCAAATATCCACCAGTTTTCCTAGAGCCTGCCTTCAACACCAACAGCTGTCCTGGTGAGGCCAAAGCCATAACTCCCAACTGTCCATCAACTGGAGGCGCTGTTCGGTTTTCCTTCTCAGGTGTTCCACTTTTTGGTTTGAAGTATAGACCTCTAACAAAATGTAATAGTTACCTAAAGTGTTAATATTTAACTACACTACAGTAAACTTTCATCTAACCTCTAAATTTGAAAGGCTACGTTTTTAATATTAGGCCACTTTTACACATGGCGGACTCTGCCTGTGATCTGCTTACTGATCTCCGCTGAGCAGGCAGGTGACAGGTCTGCATAAGTGGACATGGCTCCTTCTCCTCTATGGGCGGTCCGTTGTAAACGGTCCATTTACACTCAACTGCCGTCCGATCCACTGGATGGAAGGGGAGTGGATCTGCATCCGTCTGTTTTTAGCTGGTCGAATTTGAGCTAGGCAGGTGTAAACAGACACATGAATGTTTACACCCGCTGCTCTATAGAGGAGAATGGAGGTTTTGATCTGGTCCGAAAAATGGATGGCCCGATCGGAACATTTGTATGAAAGGGGCCTTAGTGGTGAAAAAAACAGGCATTTTTTGTGCATACATTTTCTTGGTTTGTTTACCTGGGACATGGAAGAACTATGTTCTTTGATTACATATTTAGTGCTAAAAGGTGTCCACTGTCCCTCCGTCATCTCAGAATGTTGGAAGGTAAGCCAATGCGATAGGTCAATAATACTGAGCCTTGGGAAGCAGGAAAAAGCAGAGATGTGCTTCTTGGTCAATATTTGCAGGCCAAAACACTGCTGAATTTCAAGGAACCCCCCACAGAACAAAAAGAAGAGTGACCTTTGGCCACTGGCTCCTGCTGCTATCAATCTGTCTAAGGAGGAGGGGACAGCGTCGAGAGCCGCTGCTTTTGTGCAAATCGCTGGATCGGATCGGGCTCAGGTAGGTATAAGGGGGGGCTGGTGCAGATTCTGCAGCACAGCATAGAATGCATTAGCATGAAAAACCTTCAGGCTTTAGAACAACTTTAATTATGTTAAGGAAAGGAGTAAGGGGATGTGAAGAAATACTTTATTTTACCCTGTTTTCAGGGTAAAATACAAAAACAATCATTGTACCTTGCTAACAGCACCACATAGGAACATTTTTAAAAAATACAATAAACCTCTCTATGCCCCAGGTCACCTGTTGGGCTGAGAAACCTATATAGCAGCCTTTCTCAACTTTTTTTTGCCTCAGAGGAACCCTTAAAATAATTTTCAGGTCTTGGGGAACCCTTACTGAATAAATTAATTGGGAAACAATGGGAAAAAAGACTTATACATGTGTAGTCAATAGGAAGAAAAAATGTCCTTGCAGTAGCAGTCAGAATGCCACCCATGTAGACAGTGAAAAGAACATTGGAGTCATGCTGCTGGCTTTGCCAAGTGGAGTTGGTCCTGCAACTATGCAGGCATCATCAATTAGGAGTTCAATTGGCTACAGCTCAAGGAACTCCTAGCAACCTCTGGAGGAACCCTGGTTGAGAATGGCTACTATATAGGGATCATTTTGGAGTGTCACCCCATCAACAGACTGTGCAGTCATGACAGCTGAGCCGATGTACAGTGAGGAAAATAATTATTTGATCCCTTGCAGAATTTGTAAGTTTTCCCACTTGCAAAGAAATGAAGGGTCTATGCTTTTTATCATAGGTGTATTTTAAATAATCGAGACAGAATATCAACCAAAAATCCAGAAAAAACACATGATTCAAATGTTATAACTTGAGTTGTAGTTCAGTCAGTAAAAAAGGATTTGATCCCCAAGCAAAACATAGTACTTGGTGGAGAAATCCTTGTTAGCAAGCACAGAGGTATGATGTGTCTTGTAGTTGGTTACCAGACTTGCACACATCTCAGGAGGGATTTTGGTCCATTCTTCTTTACAGATCTCTAAATCCTTATGGTTTCTTGGATGTTGTTTGGCAACTCAAAGTTTCAGCTGCCTCAATAAATCTTCTATAGGATTAAGGTCTGGAGACTGGCTAGGCCACTCCATGACTCTAATGTGCTTCTTCTTGAGCCTCTCCTTTGTTGCCTAGGCGGTATGTTTTGGGTCATTGTCATGCTGGAAGACCCATCCATGATCCATCTTCAGTGTTATGGGAAGAAGGTTCTCATCCAAGATTTTACAATACATGGCCCCATCCATTGGCCCCTCAATGTGGCAAAGTTGGTTTGTGCCTTTAGCCTTTAGAGAAACAGTCCCAAAGCATAACGTTTTCACCTCTGTGCTTGACTGTAGGGATGGTGTTCTTAGGGTCATAGTCAGCATTTTTCTTCCTCCAAACACGGTGAGTAGAGCTATTGTCAAAGAACTCAATTTAGGTCTCAGCTGACTACAGACAGGCCTGTACATGTCCCTTCTTGAGGATGGGGGAACCTTGCGGGTGCTGCAGGGTTTAAATCCATGGTGGCGCATTGTGTTTCCAATGGTTTGTTTGGTAACTGTGATCCCAACTGACTTAAGATCATTCACAGGCTCCTCCTGTGTATTTCTGGGCTCAGCCCTCATTTTTCTCATGATCATCCTTAGCCCATGAGGCAAAATCTTGCATGGAGTTCCAGACCGAGTGCGGTTGATGGTTATTTTGTATTTCTTCCATTTGCGAATAATCACTCCAGCAGTTGTCGCCTTCTCACCAACCTTCTTGCTGATGGTCTTGTAGTCCATTCCAGCCTTGTGCAGGTCTACAATCTTGTCCCTGATATCCTTTGACAGCTCTTTGGTCTTGCCCATGGTGGTGAGCTTTCAATGGAAGAAAGGGATTCTGTGGACAGGTGTCTTTTATACACATAATGAGTTGTTGTTAGGAGCACCTTCTTAAATTGACAAGACTAATCTGTGTACCACATTAGCATATAGCCAGTCTGTGGGAGCCAGAATCATTGTTGGTTGGTAGGGCATCAAATACTTGTATTACTCACTGAACTACGACTCAATTTCTAACATTTGTATCATGTCTTTTCTGGATTTTTGATTGATATTCTGTCTCTATAATTTAAAGTACACCCATGATAAAAATTATAGACCCTTCATTTTTTATAAGTGGGAAAATCTACAAAATCTGCAGGGGATCAAGTAATTATTTTTCCCACTGTATATCTCTATGTGTGTAGCTGCAGTATGTGTATTTTGTTAATAAAATAGCGGACATCTAACTGAGTTGCCATATCTATGGACATCTAACTGAGTTGCCATATCTATGGACATCTAACTGAGTTGCCATATCTACTAATGCTTTCATGTTGGATTTAACACAACAGTAGATGTATGTAAACGACACTTCTCCAGGCAAGCAGATACAGCGACCGACTGCAGGTGCATAGCCTCTCCAGGATCTGCCTTCTCCCCTCCAGGCATACAAATACATAAACCACACTCTGCTGTGTTTTTTTGCTGAATTGCAACAAGCTTTATTGAAGTCAGATAGGTTAGACATTCTCTTTCTCGTGAGATGTGACTCCGCCCTCTGATGCGTTTCACCCATTGGGCTTAATGATTAGGCCCAATGGGTGAAACACGTCAGAGGGTGCAGCTATGTCTCACAAGCGGGAGAATGTCCTTCGGACCTATCTGGCAGTTCAGCTAAAAACACAGTGGAGTAAGGCTTAAGTGTTTGTATAGGAGGTAGATCAAATATACATTTAGTATGAACACATTTTTATACTTTCTACATTTCTTCGGTGTAGGCAGTCAAGCCTTAAAAAAAAAAATTACAGAACAAAATAGACATATCATAGACTTGGAAGACAGACAATTAATAAAATACTATTTAGCTTTCAGGCCAAAGGTGTCAAGAAAGTCTAATTGATCCTTCAGCCTGAAGCGTTAAAAGAATGGAAAGAATGTGAACACAGCGCCAGGAGAGATCTAAGCTATCTAGAGATCAAATGGCCAACTCTGACTACTCTACACTCAGTAGAAAACTGAAGCAACAATAGGTTAACCCATTAGCTTTAGAGTATTTTTGTTCACAAGAAACAATTAGAAAATTCCTTGGGTTTTCAAACCTGAAACGGAAAATATGCAGCTGAAGGGAGGAAGCCAACTGACTGATATGGGAAACAAAAAGACTTTCCTTTGTAAGATTTTCCAAACATAAAGGTACAGAAATTGTGCTGCAGCAGCCTGTGAGTCCTTGGTATAAAGTATAAAGTGGTGACATGCCAAAATAAAGCTGGCCATAGATGGTTTGTATCCTGGCCGGTTCAGCAGGAACGAGCTGGGATTCGAACCATCTATGGGCAGGCTAACTGTACCCATTCAATTACTGCACCACTTGGGTACAACTAGCATGTTGAATTTTTCAAGAGATTATTGCTAATGGCTATTATAATTGCTAGCAGAAATAACTGTGTTCTCCAAGCGGAAACGGATCCCCCCACCCCCTGCTGGGAGAACACAATAGCTCTGTGGGATGGATTCCCCCATCAACACTTACTGTGTTGATGGAGGAATTGAAAGATTTCTTTCAATGGCATCATGTATGGCCTGCCTTGGTCCACAGGTCACAATTTAAGGACTCAACGTACCTTGCTTGTAGCAGTTGCAGCGGACCCTGGATGTACAGGAGTGTTGGTAACTTGCACGTTCAAGTAATTATTGTCTATAAGAGGCCATGCCCCCTGTATTTTGCAGGTCTGGAAAGTGTCCAAAAACGTCCTAAGATGGGGATCCCCAAAGAGTCCGCAGTGGGTGTAATTTTGGGCTGAAGCATGCCGGTGGAAATTCTTTTCATAATTACAGACCTCAGGGCTGTCAGACCTTTCCTGGCTGTCCCATGGAGGTGGAGTGCGTACACGAGGCTGAGAGGTGGGGCCATCTTTCGAACAGTTGTGCTGGATCATGAGGTCATCAATGCCATGGACAGCTGAATGGTAAGCCAAGTCTCCTCTACAATAGCGGGCAGTGCGTCGTGTGCAATGGGCATACGACCTTATCGCTGTACAAACTTCTACAGGGTCCTCTGCGCCTATGTGGTAATGGGAGTTTGATGTTGTTAACCAGAACTCGGAGTTACACTTCAAAATTCTGCACGAGGAGCCGGCCGCTGCAAAAACAAAACAAAGTTATCAAAACGTGTGACTTCATAACTTTACAACAGATGTATAAATCTTGTGTTCAAACAAACTCATTATGAAACAGAAGGTACAAAATATGGAAGCAATCTTAGACTTGATTACATCTGCTCTCATCAGCAAGAAATTTCAGTTCCATGCAATAAACTAAGCAGATCTGAACTCTATCAGTCCAAAAAAACTTAAAAAAATGTGTGCTTCTATTTCAATGAATCAGTGGGTAAAGCCAGCCACACATGGCTAGATTTTTGTTCAAACATTTGTAGAAACATTGTTCATCAGAACATATTTTCTTGCCAGCATCGAGTCAACTATTTTTGTTTGAAAGCCCCTAAAATTTCATCCAGACCTACTATTTAAATGGAATTTCAGGCGTAAATTAAACAAACTTCATTACAATAATGGGATTTTCCCCAAACTAAAACCATATTCAGTGTTAGAATTTTGTTCATTTGAAAAAAAATTTCAATCCTGAATTTTCTCGACACTATGGTTGAAAACAGGTGTCAATCTAACCAATTGAAAACAGAAAATTTTAAACAAACTTCTACTGGTGCATAGCCAACCTATATATTGTCCTTTATCGCTAATGATCTGATAAAAGCTCTATATACAGTAAGTATATAGCTGTTAGCCAATCATTACAGTTTAACTACTTCCTGTCCGGACACTTTTACCCCCTTCCTGTCCAGGGCAATTTTCAGCTTTCAGCGCTATCACACTTTGAATGACAATTGCGCGGTCATGCAACACTGTACCCAAATTAATTTTTTACCATTTTTTTGAGACAGATAAAGCTTTATTTTGGTGGTATTTATTCACCGCTGGGATTTTTATTTTTTTTTGCTATGTAAATGAAAATCTTAAAAAATTTTGAAAAAAAAGTGTTTTTTTAATAAAATTTTGCAAATAAATAATATTTCATCATAAGTCTTGGCCAAAATTTATTCCGTTATCTTTTTAGTAAAAAAAAAATCCAAATTAGTTTATAGCCAAAAATTATAATTTTTAAACTTTTTTTTTTACATTTTTATTTTATTTTTTTATATTATTATTATTTTTTTTTTTTTACATACTGTCACCCTAGCAGTACAGTGTCACCATGGTGACACTGTACTACTTGTGGGGGGTGATGAAGATTTTTTTTTTTTTTACACTGATTACTTTTACACCCATATAGGATGTAAAAGCAATCATTTCTCTTTCTCTCTGTCTGCATTCTTGCACTCATTGAGAAGTACTGAGTGAGCTGTGATTGGTCACAGCTTGTCACATGGTACAAGGCTGTTGTGAATAGCCTTGTACCATGTGACCTCTGTGATCATTCACAGATTTCACACGTAGTAAGCAATGATGTCACAAGTGACATCTTGCTTACTACTTTGCATGTGATCACTGATTGGCCAATCAGTGATCACATGATCAGGACTTCGTACAGAGGTCCCGTCCGACGATCGGTGTTTCACTGTGTCTGGAGGACACAGCGGGCACCGGATCGCGGTGCTGCATGCTTCCAGGGAGCGCGCACAAGCAGGGTGCGGGGAGGCTGTTTATAAACGGCCACCCGACCCTGCAGTGCCACCGTCCGGCCGTTTATATGCAATGGCCGGTCGGGAAGTGGTTAAAGGACCATTGCAATGCTTGCCAAAACAAATATATCTCTCTGAAGACGTCTGTCCTCCCCAAGAACTGCTGTAGATCACCTAAAGCCAACCCAACCTTTCCACTGATTCAGACACTTCTTTACCATTGTATAACAAATTATTTTTTCCTTCCCCTTGCCTCTAAAGTAGGGGTCTTCAAACTTTCTAAACAAAGGGCCAGTAACTGTTCTTTAGGGGGGACAGGCTGTGGACAGTGGTATTAAAAAATGCTCTGGCAGTGGGAGTAAACAATTCATCAGCATTGGTTTTAGTGGAAGGAATAGTGCCCCATTGTTGGTGTATGTAGGAAGAACATTGCCCCCAAACTGGTGTCATTGGAAGGAATAGTGCCCCATTATTGGTGTCAGTGGATGGGCTGATACCTCAAGGGCCGGATAAAGGCAAGCAAAGGGCCACAGTTTAAAGACAACTGCTCTAAAGGTTCCAGCTCTGCCCAATTTCACTGCATAATTTCTTCTGTTATCTGCTGCATTTTGTCATGTAAGGACACATTGACAATCTAGCATATTGAGTCCTCAAGCACACTTGATGTTTTTACAGCGGCTGTTTTTGGCTTTTGACATTTTTTTTCTACAGCCAGTAAACCCCCCAGCGTGTTATCCTGTGTGTCCATACACACATAGACTGTAATCAACGTTTTTTGGCTGGAAAAAACCCCAGAACTAGTGGGTTTCTAGAGGAGTTTTTTAGCTGTAAAAATGCTCTAATGCTGAAAAACGCGTTAAAATGCAGCAAACCAGCGTTTTTAGACTTTTTTTGATTAAAACATTTTTTTGTTTTGGTAAAAAAAATGCTAAAAAATACAAACGCGGAAAAACGCAGGAAAAGGAAACTGCCGCTAATGCAAAAATGCTAAAAAAAAAAAAAGGCTGAAAAACTCACGTTTTTAACGTGACTTTACACAGCTAAGGTTGCCAGCATTATCAAAACGCCCTGTGTCATGGAGCCTTACCCTCTTTAATTGTTCTGTTTAGTTATCAAAAGTGAAAGAAAATGCTAAGTCCTCATGCACACTTGATGTTTTTACAGCGACTGTTTTTGGCTTTTGACGTTTTTTTCTACAGCCAGTAAACCCCCCAGCATGTTATCCTATGTGTCCATACACACATAGAATGGAATCAACATTTTTTGGCTGGGATGTTTTTTGGCTGGAAAAAAACCCAGAACTAGTGGGATTCTAGAGGAGTTTTTTAGCTGTAAAAACGCTCTAAAGTTGAAAAACGTTTTTAACGTGACTTTACACAGCTAATGTTGCCAGCATTATCAAAACACCCCGTGTGCACGGAGCCTGAGAGTAAAGCCCCATCAATGGGGCGGCACAGTGGCTAAATGGTTAGCACTTCCGTCTGGCAGTGTTAGGGTTGTTGGTTCAAATCCCAACCACGGCACCACCTGCCTGGAGTTTGCATGTTCTCCCTGTGCCTACGTGGGTTTCCCTCCAGGTACTCCAGTTTCCTCCCACACTCCAAAGACATGCTGGTAGGTTAATTGGATCCTGTCTAAATTGGCCCTTGTATATGAATGTGAGTTAGGGACCTTAGATTTACACCCCTTGAAGGTCAGGGACTGATGTGAATGTACAATATATATGTAAAGCACTGCATAAATTGACAGCACTATATAAATACCTGAAATAAATAATGTTAGAAGCAACTGAGCAAACCTGAGAGTAAGGCTCCATCAATGTTAGAAGCAACTGAACAAACCTGAGAGTAAGGCCCCATCAATGTTAGAAGCAACTGAGCAAACCTGAGAGTAGGGCCCCATCAATGTTAGAAGCAACTGAGCAAATCTGAGAGTAGGGCCCCATCAATGTTAGAAGCAACTGAGCAAAACCTGAGAGTAAGGCCCCATCAATGTTAGAAGCAACTGAGCAAACCTGAGAGTAGGGCCCCATCAATGTTAGAAGCAACTGAGCAAACCTGAGAGTAGGGCCCCATCAATGTTAGAAGCAACTGAGCAAACCTGAGAGTAGGGGACAAGTCAACTGTGACTCTGAAACAAAATACTTGTTCTAGGATGACTGATTGTTTAAAGAAAGTCTGTCATGAAAGAAATATGGAAGGAGGCAGTGCTGACCTCTCCTTCTGAGAATGCCAATGGCCTGGGGGTCATCCTGATGCTCCCTGAGTCACCATCTTGGAACAAGTATCTGACTTTCATTTGCTCCAGGAGTGTTTTAGTTCTGTGAATCAGAAATTCATTAATTAAAGCCAGACAATTAGCTTTTTCAGAAGTGTTTATTTATTACGTTGAAAAATATCTGCAACTAACACCTGGCATCTAAAAACATTTATCTACACGCCATCATCATGCAATGTCTGGTCAAACTTGGTGGTTCAAACGCTTGAATTGCTGACCATGGACTGCACTCTAATGACTATCTCTAAACTATACTTTCTTCTAAAAACCTTTTACTTTTTTCCTTAAAAAAAAAACTCTTGAACTGACACGTTTTTACAAATCTTTGTGACTTTTGCAACAGTATTAGGCAGAAAAAAAAAAAATCTCAAAAGGAACTTTATCACCAGACACTGATATAAGCTGACCGTAGGAAATGTCTGCATCGGGCAACTGTCATCTGATGTCGCGGGGTTCATAAAGTGAATGCATGAGTTTATAGGTCTAAAACAAAGTACAAGTAAAGTATATAAGTGTACTGCTATCAGTTAGTATCACATACCAGGCAGTAAAACTGAGCACAAGCTGGAAGTGCTTTACTAATCCTGACACCAGCCCCCACACCCACACAGCAACCACAGTTTATTTGATGTTTATGAGATACAGCTGCTTATGAGATACATACTTGTGAAAAGGAGGAGGAGGGGGAGAAGAACCATGGCTCTTAGAATCATTGTAATATATTACTGAACCAATAGCCCTGGAGGCATTTAAAAACCCACTGTACTCTGCAGGCCAAGTCCAACAAAACAGATTTTTCAGTACTGGGTGGAAGCTTGGGAGTTTAAGCATAAGACCACAGGTTATTTTTCTTTGGATCCCTGATCCAAAACCTTCAATCTGAAGCCTCAAGTCCAGGGGCGGACTGACAACTCATGGGGCCCCCGGGCAATAGGGGATCATGGGGCCCCTGTGTCCTTGCCCAAACTCAAAAAAGCCTATGAAAAAGGTACCAGGGGCATCTCATGGGGCCCCCTACTGACCTCGGGCAGTGCCCTGAGTTTCCAAATGGTCAGTCCGCCCCTGCTCAAGTCTAAAAATGAACTGTTTAACAAAGGGTGCAGGCTTGGTACTTATCGGCCTCTTCCAGCCTTCTTGTTGGACTACTAATGCATGGTGGAT